TAGCAAGTTTCATTTATGACTCGCCCGGGTTACCGTTAAGATTCTCAAATGCCGATTACCGTACTGAGTTCAGATCGCAAGCTCCTTGAAAACTAAGTTGATTTTGGATTTTGTTAATTGCTTTCGTTGAGGTTGTGCGTCCGTTTCGCGGAAAGGATGTTAGTCAAATATGTTGAATATATTTATTTATATTAATTTTTTTTTTATGAATCATTTCATGCTTTGAGCATTTTAATTGCAGGAAGACTTAACCAAACATCAAAATGTTATGAAGCAAACTTTTTTTTTATGTCGTTGACGGAGATTTTTAACATTCAAAATTATAAATTATAAATTTATAGGATTCAAGGCATTGCTTACAAAACGAGTCCCAGTTTGAATTTCATTTGGCAAGTGTGTCGATTATTGGAGTATTATCTAAGCCGATTGTTAAGTTGTCTAGGAAATGCCTTTCGCATCGCGCACTGCCCTCACAATGTGGTATGTGGGGCACCCGCTTATAACCCTTCATCGTCAGGCCTATTCCACTTCGGAAAGGCTTTCGCATTACTTCAAAGTGGGGTCTATGTCCCGCTATGCGCTTTCGTCTCTTTATCTGCGTTCAGACTGTCCTGTTTATATCCTCGTTATAATAATAATAATAATACTTATAAGCATAATAATTATCATAATAATAACCCCTACGACCCATACGACCTCATAATATAAAAACTCTAACCAGAAACTCGACGAGCTCATCCATCGTGTACGTCAGCAGTACCAGCACCTGGTAGCGTTCTAAACTGACCTAGGATTCGATTTCTTTCCACCCCAACAACCTCAAGTAGCAATTGCACAGAAAATTGTGAAATATGTATGGAGTTTCGCAATGACGTCAGTTAGAGACTGTTTTTGCACGCCAGATTGGTCGCTGGCTGTTGAGCGTTCAGCGGGAAGGATACGAGTGCCCAGAAGCCGCAGCACGTTCAAGATACACATTTGCTTCTCTCAACACGTTGCTACTTCATCCTTGCTGCTGCTGCTGCTGCCGGCTGCCCCTCTGCTGGCTGCCCTTCTGCCGTTCGCATTTATATCGCTGTCGGTATGTGAACATACTTTCGTGTTGACGTTGACGCTGGCGGGTAGTTAATCGGTCGCTTGCAACGCCAACGGTGACTTACTTGCCCAACACTGCCACACCCCACGACACGACAGCCCACCCCCTGGCTCTGCGGTGCCAATACACTGTGGGTGGTGCCAGGTGTACGTAAACGTGCCACAGGCCCACTTAATGCAGCACACTGAGGTGCGATAAGGAATTTCCAGATTTCTTTTACTTCTCGCATATACATTTCAGTAGTCAGTCAAGTACAGGGTGATCCAAGCTGTCCGACGATGCAGCCAAACATTGAATGGATGCTCTAATGAGCATTTAACTCTCGAATCGGGAGTTTTAAAGTTATGAGCTCGTTTTGAAATTGTTATCAACAAAGCTTGAGCGTAACCTAATGGCTGCTATGGTATATATACCATATAAACAAGGTGGCTCGGCATTGGGTTTTCCATATCTCTTATCCCAGGTTCGGGTTCGAATTGATGCATCACATTTCTTACCATTTTCATTAGAATCCAATTTATTATAAATATAGTATTATTTTGTTCGTATTGGGAATAATGAACATTTCGTTAGCGAAAAAATAACTTTCGGTTTCGATAAAGGTTCGGCTGTTCCTTATCCAACTTAAGGGTTTTCTTATGCCTCCAAGCACCCTGTAGATTTAAATGCGTTTCAGTTTTTATTTTTGCGCCTTTATTCGGGCAACTTTTGTTGCCACTTTTGTGTTTTGTTTGCACATTTCTGCGCCAACAACTGTCAATCTTTTTTTTGTTGCCTCTGTGGCGGCTGATGAAGCCTGCTCCAGTGCCACGGTCTACGCCTTTGTCGGCATCCCCCCTTTGCCCAAATTCCGTCTTTATCCAGAACTTAGTCTCCGTGTCCGTCTCTAACTCGCAATTCAGCTCATGTGTTTTGATACACATATTGTATCGTTTTGTGCCGCGCAGCCAGCAAAGGCTCGTACGTGTGCTTAATGGTTGGGGCTCAAGGTGTGCTGTGTGTGTGCGTGCGGGTGTGTGTGTGTGTACTTTAGGGGGTGGTGCACGCCATAAGTGGCTGTATAAAAAGAAGTCGACATTTATTTGCGAGCATGCTGTAAATTGTAAATTACATTTCTAATCTTTGTAAGGCGCCTCACACACACACACACACACACATACACATGCACACGCACATACTTACCACAAGCTGGGCGCTACACTAACTACACTTTAAGGCTGCTGCAGCCTGTCCGGGAACAGCCCAGGATCTCCCCCATCGACGCACACACACAGACAGCAAGCTGAAAGACAGAGACAGAGCTAGAGAGCGTCACGCACTTTTGCTCATTTGTGTTTTAAATTTCATTTGAGATTACAACAAAAATAAATACGAGCAAAGTAATGTTAAGTAGAGAAAGTTACAATTTCGGTTGCCAACTTGAGGCAACGTCTTCCACGTCCCTCAAGGGACTCGGCGCGCTGCATTGTGCCTTTTATGCTCGCCGTGATTTGTGTCTGACTGTCTGTCTGTCTGCCCGTCTGTCCCTGAGTCTCGCTAGCTGTCTGTCTCCCGCTGTGCTGTGTTTTGCGTGTGTCGCTTAAAAAACTGCGGCAGTGACAATGTCACGTTTTGTGTTAATTTAATTACAAGAAACCATTTGTAAATATCACGACGTGATTTGCAAGGCACGCATGGCCCCACAGCAGCGCACCCACTACCAAAACACACACACACACAGATACTCGCATGGAGACTGTGTGCTCGTGAAAAATATATAGAATTTTCAGCAGTTTTCATTTGCATTTGCAATTCATACGTAAGCAAATTGTCTTTGCGGCAGCTTCCCCACGCCCCACACCCCCACTCCCACTCACCCATTCCCTTGCCACTTGCCGCATCCCTCATCATCATCAGCAGCAGCAGCAGCAGCGCCTGCTACGGTTGGTCGCAGCGTCGTTGGCATTCTGCCTGTTGGTAGCCACAAAAATGTCCCTTTTGGCGGCTACAACCAGGGCAAATGTGTTGCTGCTGATTCTGCTCAGCGCAGCGCAGCATGTTGCCAAGCACCGAACGTTGCGCAACATGTTGCCGCTGAATCTGTGCGCCGGCAAATGGGCATGACTTTTGTTTATGCTTTTTATGAGTGAGCCCCACCTGGCCGGCTCCTTCAGTTCAGCATGCGCAGCGCATTTAACGTAAATCCACCGTTGAACAGCAGTTGATGGTAAATTATTTCAATAGCAGATAAGCCGCTTAATGTTCCCATTTAATTATTGGCAGTAAACATATTTAGAGACAAATAAGTACACGTGTGTGTGCGTGTCTGTAGCTCAAAAGGGTTCAGTGTTAATGAACAGCACACCCCCGCATCCCATTACACATCAGCAACATACGACTGACAATTAACAGTCAATAAGTTTAACTGGCCATAAAAAACAAATTGAGCCACAAGGATTATGCGCTTAAGCTGCACTTAGCCAATCGCTGAAGAGCCAGGAAAGCGATTCGAACATAGGTGAGACATGCGGATTACACGTTTGTTGTACTTAGCAGGGATTATTGGGGCACTGCAACTAAATATCATTAATAATTGTAGGAGATATAGCAAAAGATATAAATGTATCTGCAAGTGAGGCCACGTTCTTATCGCGCAGCTGTCAACATGTGCTTAACGTGAGATCCTCGGATTACTTACAGTCTTAAAATTAAGGGTACTGGAAATAATCATTATTAAATGTTGTACGCTATATAGCTTAAGATACAAATGTATCTACAAGTGATGCTTTATATTCTCCAAGGATAACTTACACACCTATACTTAGCAGATATAATTAGAGTACTGCAGCTAAATATTATTTAATCTTGTGCAATATATAGCTTAAGATACAAATGTATCTGCAAGTGAGGTCATTCACGCTCATTGCGCAGCTGCCGACAGGTACTCCAACATTAATGGAGATTCATGGATAATTTACATACTTATACGTAGCTCTTAATTTTTGGGCACTGCAAAAAAATATACATAGCTTAAGATACAAATGTATCTGCGAGTAAGGCCACATTGAGATCTCACACGTTTATCGCGCATGTGCTAATATTCCGCCAAAGATCTGAACAGTAGATACGAACTAATATCTCAATAGACTCTTACCGAGATGAAGCATAAGTATAAACAAGTTTTGCTTCAGCTGGCCGCTTGGCAATTGCGATTTCGTGGCAGCTCAAGCAAAAAGCGCCAGTCATTAAAAGTTGCAATAAGAAACTACTTGGAGTGCACTCTGGGTCGCCTCGCCTATTACTTGTCCTAATGGCGTGCAATTTAAGCTTGGCGCCACACTCACGTGTGCCACAGGGTCAGGTGGGGCACCAGCAACAACAGCAGCAGCAGCAGCAAGTAGTGGGGGCCATGTGGAGGAGGAGGGCGCGCGGTTGTTGCGCACTTAAATTAAACACCCGACAGCACTTTGGGCAATTCATTTCATTTTTGCAACATGGCAACAACATGAGGCTAGCAAACAACACGGAAAATCTTCAAATGCAACATCGTGACAGCACCACCACAACCTCCATCTTCACCTCCGTTCAGTTAGACAGAGAGCTGGTGGTGCCTAAAGAATGACCAAATGAAGTACTTTGAACGTTCTAGCTGTCTGACAGCAGATTCTAGAGATGTATTACCAAAAGTGCTGCTTTTGATATTTTTGTGGGTGTGGGGGTGTGTGCGTGTGTGTGTCCCTGTTGCCTCATTCAATCTGAAGAGAGAACTGGGATCTCGTAGAGTGTCTAAAATAACCCATCAAAAAAAAGTTATTGTGAACTGATTAGAAAAGAAAAAATTATTTTAATAGTTAATAAAAATAAGACAATACAAATAATGAAATATTTTTGGTAATTAGTCAATAAAAGTTGAATTGATTCCCATCCAGTTTCAACGATTCTGTTTTTATTTTTATAGTTCTGCTTTCATTTTATATATTACTTCTCAATATTTTATTCTGAGTAATTTAAGGTTGCAAGAGTTTTGGAGAGCACCTTATTATTTTTAATGTTTTCATTGATGCTTTTTGCTAACTCTTCAATTCTTTGCTTGGCTTCTAAATTATGTTTATTATCATTGGGGAATCGCCTTAGAGTTATTTTTATATTACCTGCAATGCCTTGATTTTGTTTTTCTATAACATTATTGTCGTTCTTTATATGATTTTGCGCACTTTGAGTTATCACAATTAGTTTATTTTCATAGAGGTATTCCTTTGGCTGTTGATTAACAATTGTTTTGATATTACCTGCTTGGCTCTCTTTAAGATAGCCGTTCTTCAAACCTGATGGATCCATTAGAGCCTTAAAATTTTGCTGCATATTTGGATTTTTCTTGATATTGCGTGACGTATCTTGAACTTGTTTTTCCCATTTTTGACTACACTCGTTCTTCACATTGTTATGCTCCAGAGTCTTTTCATTTGCTTTAATTTGATAGAAGTATCCTCTTGGCCGTTGAATTTGTTCTGTACCCCAATCTTGATTTTTCTTAAGATAGTCGTTCTTCATAATATTTTGATCTATTGGCTGTGTATTTAAAATCTTAACTTTACCTTGAGCTTGATTTTCTTTATGCGTTTGATTTGGAGTAGTTTTCACATTTTGTACCAAATCTTGAATTTGGGTTTTCTGAAGATAGTCATTCTCCATAATATTTTGATCCTTTAGAGGCATTACACTCTGTTTATCCTGCTGGGGTAGTCCCCTTGGTTGCACATTTGGGAATATTTTGACATTATTATTCTTTTGCTCTAGTAGAGTTTTCACATTTTGTTTAATCGGCTGGGAAAGGAGCGGCAGCTTTTGTTTTTCAATCGTTTTAACTTTAGGAGCGAGGCCTCGAACTTGTTTGGCTTTTGGATTCTTTATATCACTACTACTATTATTAGGCACAGTAAGTGTGTCCAACTCTTCCTTTCTAGGATTGATATTTTCCCTAAACTTTTTCGAAGCTTCCCCAGCAGAAGAGTGGTTGTTCTGTGGCGCATACTTCTTATTTTGAATTGTCACTGCCTTTAGAGGGGTCTGCTTTCTATTGTTATTATCGGGTTCAAATTGTGTTGGGCCTTTATAAGAGTCCGTTAATTACACCAGCATTATGTATGTATGAATCAGAGCTTTACAGCCTCAACTTACCCGATGGCTCAGTCATTGAGTGAGGATTTTCAAGATTAGTTACATTCTCATCCGGCTGGGAGTTTCTAAATTTGTTTAACTCTGCTGTGTATAAGCCGTGATCCGATATGACGGTCAGCAGGGTATTCCTCTTTTCAATAAAGTACTTCTTATAGTACGGCGGCACAATTTCATGCGGCTTGGGTATATATTTATGGCCATCGCTGATGCCAAAGACGCGAAATGGCGCCAGCGTTACGGTAGATGGGGAATCGCGCCAGTTTCTTAGCACTATAGTGCGTCTCCTCAGCGTTGTGTACGGATAATGACATTTCACTTCGGGACTGAAAGCATTTATTTATTATACTTATAGTTGCATCGAATATGTTTAAGCTTTTTGCTCACGATTCTGCACGGCTTTGCGCCATTTTTAGATTTTTTCAATTGATGCTCTTTTTCTGAATAAAATTTCACTATCTACACTGTAGAAGTTCTTTTTATGTACAAACACTAGACAACACTGGAGAATGGCAGTCGCTGCTTTTGTAATCAAAATAATAATTAACGACTAGAGATGAGCAGTGACCCAGTGACTAGGCAAGCGATTGTTATAGGTCACAGTGAGTGATCACGCATTTTTATTGAAATGAAGACGACTTTTTTATGATTAAGTCAGAGTTTCGTTTATCACGAATACATTTTAATGTATAGCACTCGTTGGTGTTCTGTGAAAAATGAATTATTAAAAGTTAGAGATGAGTCGTAACTCCGTGACTAGGTAAACGATTGTAAACGGTCTTAGTTACTTATCACGCTCTCTTATTCAAATGAAGACGACCCAAGTTTTTCTTTTAATAGGCTCTGCGTTCCGGTTGTTAAAAATACGCTTCTGTTTATGTTTTTCGCTCCTTTCAATTTATAAGCAATCCATATATGATAGATACCACATCAATTTGAATGGGACAGTTGCTTGACTGATTTAATTGGTTTGATATTGGTAGACAAATAAGGTGTCTCTTGCCAGTGCTTTAGCATTCCAGATTACATCACTCCTGAATTACAATTCAATCACAAGTTGACCAATAACTAGCTATCGGCGATATATTGCATACAAATATCGAAAATTCGCCCGATTAATGATTGGTACGGTTTGCCGACGGTTGCGGCACTGTGTCGAGGTCATTTGCGCTGCAATCGCAGCGTTTTATCACATTGGACAACGCCCAAAGGTGCTACTGGGGGACGAGCACAGGGTGTAGCACATTAGTTGCCAACGCTAGTTTCCACGAGTTGCAAGTGTATGCGCGTATCTCTTCGTCTGTGTCTGTGCATGTGTGTGTGTGGCCCGAAAGCATTGATTTTCTTGGTTTTCGTAATCAAAAGTTTTGTTCCCACGGCGCGTTCTCACTGATATTCTTTGCACACACACACACATGTGCACACACATACATACGCTGCTTAATTTGCTGCAGTTTGCGAGGACGACGACGGGGAGTCGTTGGAGTATAATAAATTTTTGTGTGTTACCAACACTCTGACAAATTAATTAAAATGATTGGCCTGCTTCAGTCCTGATGCTGGCCCAGCCCCGCAGGAGCTGCCCCGACCACGTCACACACGCACACCCGCGACGTTATGTAGATAAGCGAATGTTTGAGTGTGTGTCTGTGTGTGTGTGTGTGTGTGTGTGTGTGTGTGTGTGTGTGTGTGTGTTTGTGTGTGTGTGTGCCTTGGAGGGGGTGTAACATTTTCACATGCGCTTGCACAGCGCGCGCCGCGACGCTGGCGACGTGTCGTTCGCAATTAGCAAAGTAAGCTTAATGTGGTTTCACTTGAATTACTTACGAGTGTCGCTGCGGTGCACAGAGAAAGAGAGAGAGAGAAAGAGAGAGGCAGAGGGTGAGGGAGAGGGAATGGGGAGACAGAGAGCTAGAAAGGAGCATGCTTTCCCAACTGCTCATCAATTGCAGTGCCAGCCGAAGCAGGGCCAAATTCAAGTTCATTTCGCTTACACAAATTTCCAACTGCAACGAACGCAATTACCAGCAGTCGCAGTGCCGCAAATATAGGGTATATACAACATATATGCATACATACATATGCATTTAGTGCTATCCCAAACTGGTTTCACAAATGAGATACACGCCTGCCATTTATACTTATAGTGATACGATCCGATACGACGTGCTCGTGTTAAGTCGAAGTAACACGTGCGAAAAATATAACAAATTATTTAATTATAGGTTTATTAAGTTGTTTATATATATTTAAATATTTATTTATGATTAAAACTCTGCTTGACCAAAAATGGTTTAAGACTTAATCAAATTAGGATGGAATATGAAAAGCTTCAATTTTTTCTGTTTTGATGAATAAATATTAGATACTCTGCATACTTATCAAAGTATCGAAATTTAAACTTTATCCATAACAATACAATTTCTAATATCTATAAAACTTTTTTAAAAATATAATTATTTGCCATTCAAATTAAAATCATAATAAATTGAATAACATTTTGCATTGTAAGCAAACTGTGTATCACAATAATTTAATTTAGCTGACGACTTTTTTAAAATTGGACTCCGTTTTTTATTGATTTCTTGTTGTTATTTTCACTGATTGTGTATTTGAATACTATTATTATTTTTCAAATTTCATTTCTGATAGAATATCTTCCTTTTCGCCACGCGTATTAATAATATTATTTTCATTGTTGTTATTAATATTAGATTTAATATCATTGTCTATCTATGTCGCTTATTTAATATAAAAGTTATTGACTCGAATTCGTCAGAACTGCTGCATTGCTTCGACCTGTCAAACTGGTACTGAAATATTATGATATATAAACTATATATTATATATATATAAACCAAATTATATGATTAAAATAAATTAAAGAGCATGAATTGATTCATTTAAAATAAATGAGCAACAGTAATATAATTATTTGTAGCTACAATCAAATCAACTAAAAAGAAAAGTATAAAAAAGCTGGAGCATTAATTTATTTACATATTTTTAGGCGCAATTGAATGTCACTGATTTACTTTCAGGGGCCGGCAATTCACATATTGTCTCCCAAGGCACACACACACACATACGCAAACAGGGCCAACACCGAATGCTGTTATCGGTGCAGCAATAGCTTCAACAAAAATATTAAGTTTTGATCCAACTTAAAGTTCATCTTACTTTTCCGAAATAGCCCAGCTCTAGAGCTCGGCTAGGTCCTTACACGTTCAGGCACATTATATACAGATATGTGTACAAGTGTGGCTTGCGTGCTTGGCAAGTCCAATGCAAGCCCAATTCAAGCCCAACGGTACTTCCGGTGACTCTAATGAGCCATCAACTCTTGTGTTCGACTGTTCATTTGAACGAATAAAGTCGCTTGATTAACGTTTGTACCAATTTGTGTAAATACCGTCGAAAGTCGTCGGTTACGCATCGCCAGGTCGATCAATTTTCGATCAGAAGCCACTGGCATTAAAATGCAAATTTCAGAAGTGCAAACACAACTTGAGAGAAAGTTGAGAGAACTTATATAAGCGATATGGATATGCAAAGCAAGGCCAGACGACGAAGACGACGTCGACGACGTTGACGATGTTCTTCATTAAAGTTCTTGGTCTTCTTCAGAGCAAGACTAAGTGAGAGTTTGGCATGGCGAAGGGGTTTTGCGTTTGGGTTAAGTCGCTTCAACAGCAGCAAATGAAACACGTAACTGGCAAAGTTGTGTGTCCAAGCTGCAGACGTGCCAACTCCTTGGCTCTTGGTCCCAAGCGGTATGCAGGCGCCACCAGACGCAACCTGGCGGCACTTAAAAAGAGGAAAAAAATTCTTCCTGCCCTTGTCGCTGCCATTGTTGTTGCATGCATAATAAGCGAGCATGAATAAGTGACACAGAGCGAGAGACAGAGAGATAGAGAGAGAGAGAGGGAGAGAGAAAGAGAGAGAGAGAGAGAGAGAGAGAGAGAGAGAGAGTGAGGAAGAGCGAGCACGAGAAAGAGAGAGTGAAACGGCTCAAGTGCTCTTATGCGACAATTAGAAAAGTTTTTTTCGGATGACTGACTGACGATAAGTGAGAAGTGGCAAATGAATGTAAATACGTGTCACTTTTGTTTTTATGCTCTATACCCCGTTAAGATGCGTAACAAGGGTATATGCAAATGTGTGGAAGCATAACAACTCCTTGTCCGTCGAGATATTACATACGCTTCTATCCCGGAAACTACAAGAGCTGAAGAGCGCAATTTGACATATATATAATTTTATCTTTGTATTCTTTATATCTTCCCCCATTTCCATAATATGGAAACCTGATATATGATGATAAGGCATATCTCGTATATTATACAAGCTCAATACAAATTTAATATGTGAAATCTTATATAGAATATTTACCACCCCTTTCTTTCATTGGTATATCCCTACGCTTGATATATACACAAATTTGCAAGCTATATTTAAGCCCTGAAATCTTAAACGAATGGGAATACGAGCACCGAAGTTTTTCAAGAATGAATTTTCTACAGTTTGGTATTGTTTTTGTATATCGAAGTAAGTTAAAATGTCTGTGGCGGCAGCTCGTCGCTGTGTACAGGGCATCTGCATCAATGAACTCTGAATTTATCCTGGAATTGCAATGCTTTAAGCAGCTGTAGCAATCAGCTCAGACGCACAGCACACATGGATGCGACAATGTGGATGCGTATTGGTGCGCTCGCCTGGCAAATTGATGGCCGCTTTCAAAAGCTCAACCTTACAGAAACATTATGTGCTGTCACACAAAACAAAAGTCATAATTTATAATGGCTTTATGGGCTCGCTCAAATTGATATAAAGGTCAAGAGTGTGCACGTGCTGTCGTGGTGGGCTTCCCTTGAGCATGACCAGTGTGCAGCATCCACGTTAGCTGGCCACATTCTGACGAGCATAATGCCAGCGAGTTTCAAACGAGGCCATTTTGCTGCTTGCCAGCCTGCCAGCCTGCCAGCCTGCCTGTCAGTACCCCGTAGCCCCGATTCAGTGGGGTGAGTGTGCCTACCACGGCCCGACATTCATTACTGGCCCGAGGTTCCACTGCCCATGTGGTGCATTGCCACCTGGTTAAAAGTTTGCCAACATTTTTGCGAATGAAATTAAGTGTGTTGCAGTTTGAGTGGCTTCTGGAAGAGATTAAGGTTAAGCTTTCAAAACCAGCTGGCCAACTTAAAATTTTTTGGCCAGCTGAGTACCCCCCCACTGGCTATAGTCGCACTTAACCAACTGCTTTATTAAACTACCTGTATTCCTGTAAACCGTCAGCACATCAGCTTATATATTTCTGTTTATACATATATGTGAGTATGCATATGTGTATTTATATTAAAGGCTCTGCTTCTGTTATCTTTCATCCAGATGGACGGTGCTCTCCCCATCATCCGTTTATTAATCACATTGAGCTAGAAGCCGATCTGTGGCACTCTTGCAGCCTTTGTGCCTCTTTGCTCAACAAA